CTCCCAAACCGTTGGAGATACGGGAAAATTGCATCAGACCTTTTTTGTAGAGGACGATGAGATCTACAATTTCCATGTAAAAATTTTTCGCTAGTGTTAATAGTTAACGAGTAATTTGCAAAAAACTGTTTTTTCGTTTTTCGTCAATAACTCGTAAACTATTAATGCTAGCGACAAACTTTTATACAGAAATTGTAGATCTCGTCGTCCTCTACAAGAAAGGTCTTATGCAATTTTCCCGTAGGACTAACGGTTTAGGAGTTATTGAAGAAAAACGAAATTTTTTGTCAAAAGTTCGCCATTTCGACGCTGGAATGGTCGGATTTTGTCAACATCCATAAAATGCCATATAATCATATGTAACTCATGAAATATCGAAATTAGAATAAAAGTGCACTATTTTTGATTAAAAATTTTCGATACTTCGAGAAAAAATTTTTTTTTTCCCTTTAGATTTTTCGAAATCCGCATTTATTACTAAAAAATGTTTACCTGTTGCGCTAGTGAAAACTGTTTCAAATGAAAGTTATAGGCACCGTGAAAAGCTACAAATTGCGTATGAAACTTCTTTTCTATCGTAAATAGTTAACAAGTATTTTGCAATAAACTGCAATAAACTGTTTTATCATTTTTTGTCAAATACTCGTTAACTGTTGACGCCAGCGAAAAATGTTTCATACAGAATTTATAGTTCCAGTTGTCACCTACAAACAGGATCGTATGCAATTTGCCCATAGGTCCAACGGTTTAGAAATATTTCAGGGAGAACGAAATTTTTGACAAAAAGTTTGTTGTTTCGACAGGGGAGAACCTTTCATATTTTGCTCCGAATAGTGATAGTTTCATTTGGTTCGACATAATCGATACAGAGTGACCGAGTGACATGTGACATACAATGAGGCTCAAATAGTTAGTGGCGTATTGAAAATCGCGTTGCCCAACGCGAATATCACTGGCTATGCTCGCGTCACATCGACGTTGACGTGCTCGTAGGCGCGCGATCTGTTTAAAGGGAGACATAAATCTGAATCAACCGACGGATTACGAACGTCGAAATAATTTATCGTCACTCCTGACTTGTCGATCTTCGTTTCTGATACAATTTTCGTTGACATGGGAACGTCCGACAGATTGCTATAACGATGATTCACCTATTTCAATATATTATTTTTCCTATTACGATATATCGTGTAATATGTATCTATCTTACTATTATGTAAAGAGAAAGCGTTTATTTGTGCATTAACAAACATATAAAAAACGATTAAAGTCTTAGACAGTAGCTTTTTTTATAGTATACTCCGGAATGCCATAAAATATACTTGTAGAGCAAATAACATTATTATAAATAATTACTGGGTTGATAAAAACAGTTTGTGAATTTTTAAAATTCATGTCCTACTGTCTTGAAACATAATTCTTCATATTTTTCAAGTTTGATGAGTTATAGATTTAGTTTTCTTATACAAATACCTAAAAATCAATTTCTGTTTCTCAATCATCCACTATAAGAGAATGAAAAGGTGTAAAATGCATATTTTTCAAATTCATTACTCAGCGACTTGCTTTTTGTTCATAAAAGATTTTTATTCTATACACTTCTTTAATTCTATACACGATAATTACTGCAAGTGGAACCGCGACGGGTGTGCTAGTTAAATTATAAAACTAACGCATTCTAATTTGTGCTCGTATAATTTATTCTGAGACTCTTTAATTAACCCTACTATTTCTTCTCTAATTTCAGATGGTGTCGGCACTCATGCTCTAGTAAAAGTGCGAGCCAACCGACAAGAGGCAGCACGATGTGGCGCATACTCGTGGTCGCGGCCCTGTTAGTAGCCACGGTGTCTGTGGGTGGCGACAAGGTGGTCGTTCTGCCACACGACGTTTACCCGGGCTACGAAGTGACGCTGTTCAACACCAAACGACCATCGAACTTTCACATGATGGAGAACGGCTTCTCGAAATTCTTCACCGTCCTCGATAACGGTCTGGTGATGACTACGTCCGATTTGTCGCCGTTGGTCGACCGTTCCGTGAACCTGATCGTCCTCGAGGATCTGGCCAACGGCACCGAGACACATTTCCTCCATCTATACGTCATCAATCGCAGAAACATGATCACCTTCTCTCACGATCAGTTAGGCGAAGGCGAGGTGCCTGAGAATTCAGCGGCTGGCACTTTGGTCGACGGTTTCCCGGTTCTCAGAGCTCGGGGAAGCTTCCCGGTTCATTACACAATCCTACCGGACGAAAAAGGTGACCGGCCGTTCGCGTTAAAAGAGGAGGACTCGAACCAGACTGGATTCAACTTGACGTTGAACAGCCAGAAAGAGGGAGTCCGCGTGGTGACCGCGAAACCTCTCGACCGGGAATTCAAGAAATTATACACAGTCGTGATCCACGCTTCTGATGGTTATCTACTAAGCAGTTCGCAGATCAACGGTATGGTCCACGTGCTGGATGAAAACGATAACAGTCCCGTGTTCGAGCACGAGCAGTACATGTTCGAGGTCAGACCAACGGGTGTAGACGCTATCGACGAGAATTCGGTCGCCCTTCCTGGGTGGAAGAGGTTTTCCACCGTGGGCAAAGTGTCCGCTAAGGACGCGGACGGTGACAAAGTTGCATACAAACTGCTCACGCCTAGTAGTTTGCTAGTGGTCGTTCCCCAGACCGGGGAACTGATGCTGGTAGGCGAACCGGACATCACGATGGACGAGGACACCGAGTGCGTGGTGATCGTCGAGGCGCATGACGCACGAAGTCCGAGTCGATCGACCAAGAAACCGGCCAAGGTCATCGTCAGGTTCCTAACGTCGGACACGAAGGAAGTCGAGGTGCACAGGATACAGAAACGAAGGGTGACGAGGGCCGTCAGGCCGACCAAAAAGGCGGACTTCACGGAGGCCGACGGTGATCAAGAAGGGAAGATCGTGTTTTATTTAGAGAAAGAGAACGAGAAGGAAACGTATAAGATCAGGGATGACAACAAATGGGTCACGGTGGGTTCGAATGGTTCGGTTATAGTGAAACGGAAATGGGACTACGAGGAGCTGGGCTCGGAAAAGACCATCGACTTTTGGGTGACTATTACGAACTCAGGTAAACGATATTAATAATACAGAATTTCATTCAAAGAAAATTGCTTAGCCGATGTTTCAGAGCGAAAAGAATTTATTTATAATTAATTAATTTCTCGATAGTGAATTTTAATTAATTTAATTAATTAATTTATCGAATTCAAATAATTTTATTGTCTGTCACGAGGTTGTTTTAATTAATTAACTTTTTTATTCTATTATTTACGTGGCTGAAGAGCGGTGTTCGCGGTACCCGCTGAATTTGCGGTGTCCCTTCCACGGTACAATTATTTCATTTTTATTATTTCACTGTAACGCCGTTCATCGCCTATCTTCACATGGTTAAATCTACGCTATGGCTCGGTTCTTCTTCTACTTTCTTATATATATTTCTCTTCTCGAGGGTGTAGAAGTTTCTTGCGCTTCTTTAGAAACCGTGCACGCCGTTCGATCGATATATCCGCGGGAATAGTCGTACGTGATAAATTGCGGGACACGGCAAGAAATATTAAAAGTTCTCCACGCCCGGAACCCTCTTGCGGGCATACCTCCGCAGCACGTGGGCACAATTTCCTTTCGGAACAGGTAATTGTTCGAACGTGCGGTTCGGGACCGAGCGCTAATTACAGTTTCGCCAGGGAAAAATGAACGGGCACGCGTGTTACGCATCACGAGACCGGAAGGAATTAAATTACGCCGTACGTATTCCGGTGCGTTAACGTTATTCAGCAACGCGACTTGCTCGCGAAATTATTACGTTGCCGAGCACAATATTAGGGCGGGCGCATACATATTCGTTGCTTGATTACCTTGTAAAATACTCGACAACGAGATACTTCTTGCCGGGTGTCCGCACAATAATTAACCATGCTTTTTTATCACACTAATGATGTACATTTTCTTTTCCGCATACTTGGCTTCCACAGGATATCAATGTAAGCAGAATCATGTCTCATCTCCATTTTACTTTACTCTCTTTTGTAATATAACTTCAGTATAATATTGTGGGTCGTCCGGAAATTTCGTTCCATTTTTTCGTGAACGGTTTGGGACACGCTGAGTGTATCAGAGTAATTGAGAATAAATGACATGCGTATTGT